AGATAGATAGATAGATAGATAGATAGATAGATAGATAGATAGATAGATAGATAGATAGATAGATAGATAGATAGATAGATAGATAGATAGATATACAGAAGACAGAGTCTATATATTTGGAACTATTAGAAATATATATATAACTATTCGTTTTCGAGGTATATATTTTTTTTTAAACTATTGTTACATATTACATTATTCCATTAAGTATAGCAAAATTCGACGTCTCGATCCATTTTATTATGCATGGCAGCATGCTTTGGCATAACTTTTCGGTTGTGCTTGTTCAGTGTGCAGCATAGTGATATGTATCGTAAGAAATTTAACTTCAATATAGTTTCGTTTTTCACTTGACCTTCGTATTAAACTAGACCCCACAAGATCTTCACGAAGGGCATCAAGTGCATTAGCCTTAGATCAAGTTGTAAATACTCTTGAAAAAACCAAAGCCGTCAGTTTTGGCGAGGATTCATAACCCGTAAACAAATATATTTATTGGCATTAATATAATTTACCCCACCAAAGGTTCATTTATACAGTGGATGTTATACTTATGCGTTATTGTTAAGTCCTTTTCTGGGAGTATTTACAGCTTGTGCAGGCGAGCGAAAATTTACAAAATATCACATTTCTCCCTCTGCATGCATGGGAATATATGATGGCTATATATAGTCTTATTCAAGGTAGGCTATATCATTGAAGCAACCTATACAGTATTATCAGTCATTCTTACAAGCACAATGAGAAGCTCTGATATTCGGTATAGACCTAATTGTGCTAAATAGTCCTTGATCCATGTAAAGAACAAACAAATTATGAATTTTCTTGGGTGCGCAACAATTTGGATTTGCTAACACCTTGGTTGAGAATTTTTTCACCGAGTTGTACCCATCTATGATGGCTTGTGATAAAATCTGAACGATGGGGTCATTTCCAACAGGCAGGAGAAACGTATTGCCACAGTAATGAGTGTAGAATCCAGATGGAGCAATGATAATATTTTTGTACTTCGTGAGATTCGCATAGATCTTACCACTGTGACATGTGGGTGGCAGATTACTTTTTTTCACAGATCTTTTCGACCGTCTCAGCAAACCAGAGTCATCTTCCTTTGTCATATTCACAGGCGACTGAGGCTCGTCACGATCGCGTAAGCCATTGAGATGCATCAGTTTGATCGTGGTCTGCATGTCCATATCATCATGGTCCATGGAATCTACAGTGAAGACAGTGAAGATCATATGCCGTAATTAAATTCAAGAATTACAACTGCATACCGGTGGCCTGAGAAAAAATGGAATCTCAGTGTCCTGGACCCCGAGTGAGCCTGCATGCATGCATGGCAGCTAGACGGTCTTATATAATGGGAACCATAAAAGGTATCCTTATTTATCTGTTATTTAAGGTCGCCCAATACAGGTTTTTAAAAATGGACAATTCACGATTTAGATCCGTATTTTTGAACAATTAGTACTTGTTGAAAAACGAAAAGTATCCTATTGATGAAACATCTAAAGGGTTTGGACTTTTTCACAAAAGCTACAAAACTGCCGTTGCTATTGCGACAATGACGTTTTAAGATGGCGGACATTTTAAGTAATTTAACTCGAAAACAACATCGATGACCCCAAATTTAATTTCATAAAATTATTTATCTGAGTATACTCAATTACCTTGACAATTTAAAAAAATTCTGTTGAGCGAAAAACTTATTATGAATAATCACTGTCCAAAAATACGGATGTAAATCGCATACAAATTTTACATTTAAAAAAACGGTATCGAGCCACCTTAAAGTAACTCTTTTTTAAATGTTTTGAATAGGTTGATCATAATGATCAACCGTTGATCTCTATGCAAAAGAGAGTTGTAATATATAAGAAATTAGAACTTGTTACGAGTTACGGTGGTATAATTGATATTAACCTGTTTCAAAATATTATGTACTCTTATTATAATCATCTTCCTCGAAGCTTTGCCGGATAATCTTTTTGTTTCTGGTACTACAATTCATCAATATGAAATATGAACTGCTCAAAACTTACGGCCTCGCCAATATCGTACAACTTTAAAATCGCATGCAATAGCTTATCAGGGTCCTGTTTATTGGAATCATCTTCAATATAAAACATTTAGCTAATCTGCACTTAAACTATAAATTATTGAAATCAATATACAAAAATATAGAGGTCTGAACAGAATAATTTATTACATTTATTTTTGTAAATATTCTTATGTATTGATTGTAAGGTTGTGAACTCATGAACATGCCCTGACAATTCTAAGGGAGCCTAAATGTTATAAGCCCTATAGGCCACTAGGCTACAGTTTTTCAGCTTCCTTGTCACAAATTTATTCAGTTGTATTTACAAATACTATAGCCTATTGAGTATTGTACATATTATTTCTTTTTGTATTTTTGTGACCAACCAAATAAACTATTCATTCAACTATTCATTCAAGATTATTTGCATGGTTATAAATTTATTTATTGTTTAGTTTTGAGTGTATCTTGATGTGGAAAACAAAGCACTTTCAGTCTAGGTCGATCTGTGCATGACAATTTTAAATTTTTCAAAAGCACAAACAAGGACTGACGTACAGTAATCTTTCCTTAAGATATCTTTAATTATATTGGGACTGTCTGGACATTTGGGGCTGTCTGGGGGAAATAATAACACGTGATAATTATGAAACACGTTCAGCAGACATTTTGAACAAGGTCCAAATTAATCATTGAAGTCTTCCTAACTATAGAACTTAGTATAGTGAAGGAGGCATCAATTAGCTGTCCTAATGTACGAAGTTAAACATACATATAATGATATAAGATGCTACCAAATTATTTAATAAAAGTATTTAAAATTTAAACCAACACGAATGAAATACATGACTGCAAATACAATACGAGACAGAGTGAATTTAATTTCCCACTACCTGAGCCTAATACAAAAATTTATATATGAAAAAAGCTTTTGCCCACAGAGCCAGCTGAGACTTGGAATAACCTTCCCGAGTTCCCGTTGATTTAAAATCTACAAGAAGTATCTCTGGCTTTAAAACTAAAATCAAACATGTATATATTTAGTTTGAATTTAATCTTTATAGATATTTAAATTAATGTATAACGGCCTATTGGAGGATAACCCCTCTCCCCCTATGTTTCTTCAGTAAATATTTTGGTGAAATAGTACCATAAAAAGATCGTAAATTATTTGGGATGGCTTTTTATACCTATATTATACTATATTAATGAGGACATGCATGATGCTGCATTTTGGGCTGCTTGTCAGCTGTTATATAAGTGTTTTTAACTTTTTTCAAATACTTCCACTCACTCATCTATAGAGCACTCACGCAACAGTATATACATATATAGCGCGTACGGTCAAACATTAGAACACTTGACATTGTTTATTGGTCCTTATACGTTTATACTACCTCCCAAGTGATAACGATTCCGCGTTCTATCGATTTCATTTAATACATCAGAATGAATTAAATACATCATTACATGTCAAGATTGACCAATTTTATAGAATATTTAGTGAAGGCAACCTTGTGTAACTGCTCTTGGCCATTTAAAGTATAGGGACGGGTGGTGTTGGCTTACTTAGATAACTAAGTCAGTATATAAGTTTAAAGCCTTTATTATATAGGGATTATAGGGTGACACATAATAATCAATAAATATATGCACCTAGCTGTCATGGCCCTCTAAAATTTACTTAGCTATATAGCTGTATTACAAATATTTAGATTTATAAATTATGTCCAGAATCGGTGAATATTAAAATATTTCATTTTAAAAAAATTATCATGATACAAAATACCACTGAACTATAAATTCAGTAAACAACAAAATGATGTAAAAACTGCTGCTGATTAGCAAGGTCCTATAACTGTTTCTAGGTAAATCTTAAACTGAATAGAGTTAATATTTTTTACTAACAATTGTTCAAATATTATCATGCAATGGCTCAAATACTACAACTGCGCCACTTTGTCATCTTTGCTCAGGGACATCTAATTGATCTGGGCCTTTCTGGCTTTTGTCGGGCAGGGTCCAAGGAGTTACGCCATTGAGAATGTTTCATTATAGGGGCCGCATGCAAAGTGTATTTTCGGTATTAAAATTTATGTTGTTTTATGGGTTTCAGTTTGTTACTATGGACACGTGCACCCGCGAAAGTGCTCATTTGCTGGCAACAAGTATATATCTTGAAAATTGTGTATTCATGCTAGTTTAATGACTATTAGCAATTAAGAGGCTGAATTACAGCTTATACTCGGAAGGAACAAATTGCAACAATTAGTGGGTGCATGTACAGGAGTGTTAATTTAAATGCGATCAACTCTTTTAAAAGACTAAGGCAACGTTTACACTGTACCGTTTTCGTAGCGTTCTCGTATTGTTCTTAATCCTCAAGGGAACGCAAGACAATAGTCTAGTTCTCTCGAACAATACGAGAACGCTACGAAAACGGTACAGTGTAAACGCTGCCTAAGTAATTGGGATGTCAGACGCGTTTGGGCTACGAATCAACTCAAGTTCCTCTGTCGCGATTGAGAAATGGATCACTAAAAAAAACTGTCATAGAGATTTTGGATTTTTCGGGGATTCCTTTGAATTGTTGGAGACATTTTCGGGATTTGTAGAGATTTTTTTAGAGATTTCAAGCTGGCGATCAGTTTTAGGGATTTTTAGGGATTAATACACCCCTCGTTTGCAATAATGTATTAATTGAAAGTGTTACATGTCAGTATATCACTCTCGTGCATGGGCCTCTAAGTGGACCTCTCGATCTAGTGGGCTTCTCACCTTCTTAACATCTTATAGGAAGTATAAATACGGCACTAAATTCAAATTGGGCTATACAGAGACGACTGGTCAGCCCCACTTTACAAGACCAACCGGCAAACAAACCGGTACACCGACACATACAAACCATACCAAGGCATCTTTATACCCATTAAACGTGCAAATGAATCTGCAAACCTCACTGAATCACACAAACGGCTCTGAATCTCATCCAACAAAAAAGTTCGTTCTCTAAAGTGTATATATACATTAACATAGTACAGATTTCAAGGTCCAAAGCTTTGTAATGAACTGATGAACGTTTCAAATGTTTGATTCTTTCAAAATTCAAATAGAGTTTGAGGTGTTCATATCTTGACCAGTAGCCTACATTATTTTTGATCTGCAAGATTTCTTCTTGATTCTGTGTATACAGGGTGTCCCAAAAAAAACGAAAACTATTGAAATCACCAATAACAATTTAATTGTTGAATTTGAATGCCTTAGCGCTCTGTTGGTTCCCACGAGTGCATAAATGATTGGCATAAGTAAATTTTATGCATAGAGAAACAGTTTAAGAAGCTGTTTTTAATTCCCAGGAGCAGAAAATCGCGCACTTTACCAGGAGATATTCCTAACTAAATTCTAATACATGCACCTTGTCAATATTTTACGCATCATTACGTCCAGCTGTTTGGTAGGGCATTCAAATTTAACAATAAGTGATTTCAATAGTTTTCGGGTTTTTTGGGACACCATGTACAGCTAAGTTATGAGCTAGTGTATTGTATATGCGTGTTCTATTCAGTCTTTGTTAGTTTGTTTGAATTCCTCAATTCTACCCAGTGTTTTAAGATGTAATTGATAAAAAATTAATGATCAGTGGTAAAATTGCTTTTGCATGGCGTCTCAGACTCAGTTCAGCCTTAAGGTTTTTGATGGAAGTAAATTTTCCCCTATATTATTTTTGAATTCTATATTTCCCGGCAACAATGACGTAATATATTTATAGCTTTATTGATCGTATTTTATAACACTCTTTTTATCTGAACATATATAATTATTGAACTGAGTAATTAACTTTGCCTACGCTAATCTTAGGCGACCCCTCCTGTTCACTATAATTACCCGATCAGTGAATTGTTGCGATTTGTCCCTTCCGAGTGAAGCTGTTATTTGCCGTACCAGCCAAACGTGAGTATGCCAATTAGCCTAAGATACTCTAAGATGTATCCTTGTCCTTCATTCCATGTAGCAATTGCGTCAATACTTTCGTGGGTGTCGAACTTTGTCCATAGTAACACAGAAACCCATAAACTGATTAACGAATAAATAGTATATCTACATTGATTAAATACTTATCCACTTGTATACTGAAATAGTCGAAATACTGACTCAGTGCAGGTTCAGTTTCAGTACAAGTGGATAAATATTTGGTAATCATGAAGCTAATTTACTGATCTGATGAGCGCCACATTTTGTGGTACGAAACTAAATAGCAATGAAGATGCTTATATAGTGGAATTTATTGAGTCGTTATACTTCAATTTATTTAATTATGCTCTGGATATCCATTGTATACATACACTCTGCCAAACGTGTATAGATAACGAAACCTAATATCTATCAGTGTTAAAGTTAGTTAAACGATTGCGTTGTTGTTTATATCTCATGTATCTTGATCCTGCTATGTCTATAGCTTCTGAGGAAACACATAAGAGCGGACTTATATATTGCCTTAGTTTGTATTTGGTATACATTCAGTTTTATTGATTCACATAGTTTACATTTTTTACACACCTCGTCTTTTCGATAGAATAACACAGAAAAAACACCTACTGGTTTTATAGCTATCCCTAGTCAAAGACTTTTCCTCCACAATCAAAACGTTTTGTATATGCTGGCAAGTAACACTAGTCTCATGCACCCACAAAGGACTAAGATCTTTTGAAGATCTTAAAGGCTTAATATAAAATGTATACATACTATCAATTTTTTCTCTCGCAACAGCAACGGAGATTTTCACCCTATGCCTATGGCTCAATATATGGGATATGCTCAATTAACTAAGCCGACGAAATAACTTTCTCCACTAAAATTTACCTTGGTCGAATTTATGTTTGGTGATCTTTTTCAACAATTTGACCATTCGTTTTGGTGCAACAAGCCTCATTCCATCTTTCTCATTCCATGGCGCAGCAATAGAAGACAAACAACTCGTTATGATTATCAAACCAACTGAAAATAACATAACACGAAGTTGACAAAATTTCATATTGCTTCTGCTTGTTTGATTATGGAATAGTGATGAGGTACTCTATCGAGCTTATGAGCATGCCGCGTAGCTAGGTATAATGTCGCTAAAAGCAATTTGCCCCTTTTATCGATATTGGTGAACAATGCGGTAATTAACTTTCCGGTTTTTTGTAGAGAAGACGTACTTAAGTAAGGTATTTGATTGCACTCCAAGGAACGGAAATGATAGTTAAAGAGGATCGGGTTGGGGGTGCAGAAGAACTTAAACCATGCCAGGATTAAGTAAAACATATTAATCTTACTAAGTGCATCACTTAACACTCATACCAAAAAGACATAAGGATTTTTCGAAATGATATTCATGTAGAATATTCGTGTATATTATATGTAAAGCCTGATTTCCATATCCGTATAGTGAGTAACATAATAAATGGTCGCAACGGTGTTAAGACTTAATGACAGCAATCTCCAAATAATGTTATTTCGACTTTTTTAAATATTAAACGGTATAGCAGTGGTAGCGTATAGACTATAGTAAGATGTTTACAAGGGTTGAAAAGTAGAAGAAGTTGTACTGAATCTAAGGCATGTTCCCCGGTTAAATTAATTTAACAATCATCTGATACCAAGTTGAGAAACATAACAAACAGACTTGGAAACAGTAAAAATACTAAAAATGAATGCAAAAAGAATGTTTAGGTATTTGGTTCAGATGGTTTAAACTTGTTCTTGTACGCCTTAGTCTCATTACATGCAATACAACTCCACTCTCCAGTTTGTTGAACTTGGCCTCCTACGTCAGTGACATTGGGAACAAACTCAGTATAAAAAGTAACAAAGCGGCTATATACTACAAAACGCCGCAATGCAAATATATCTGTTCTTTATTTACTCGAATGTTACGTAATATCTTACATAACATTTTATGATATGTTACATTTAACAAATATAAAATATAAAACATTTTCCGTGTTGATATACAGTTATTTAATGGGCTTGGTGTTTTCACACAATTTCGAGTTTTCGGCCCAATTTCCACTGAAGTGTTGATATAACTATATATGTCAATACGGAAAAATGTTTTA